ACATCTGAGAAAGCTGCCTGGGCAGGCACAAGAGATGTGACCTCCTGACTTTTTCCACCATAGGAGATTTGATCAGAAGGTAAGAATACATGGAGTGACATCTCCCTCTTCCTCATTAGCCTGGAGGGTCAGGCCTTTCAGCTGATGGACATCCAAATGCTGATTAAGAAATCCACATTGTCAGAAAAAAACAGTCAAAGAAAGCCTTATCTTGATTATTTCTGTTGGAATATTTAAATTATTCAGCTAAGAATGTATTTGGGCCCCATTAAAATTCAGGTTGATGGTGTGTTCCTTGCTCATTAGCTTTTTGAAATATTTTCTTCCCATGATGTTTAATTGAAAAATATGCATGGTGACTGGGAGGTGTCCCTGCCCATGCACTGGGCTTGGATCTAGATGATCTTTAAGGTCCTTTCCAACCCAAACCTTTCTATGATTCTGTGACCTTTTATTTCTGTCTTACTAAGGTTCAGTTTCTGTATCTTTAGTTTCGAAAGGTACATTTTATTAGCGATCCAAAGAGCTGACCTAAGCAAAGGTCCTACACACTACCCCAAACACTCACCCTCTTCTTCATGGTCATTTTATAAGTTACCAGAAATATTGCTTCTTTTGCTCTGCAGTACTATCCATGTGTTTTTCTTTCCTGTTTTTTTTATTGTGGGTTTTTTTGGAGGGGAAGGATGTGGGAAACATTGGTTTAATCTGTATTTTCTGCATCATGCCTTAAAAGCACAAAGCTCCTAGACTTGAATTTTCTAAAGAAGAAATTGAGAAAAAAATCAAAATCTTAATGGTTCTGAAAGGGGGATCTTTTGTCTCATTTTAAGTATGTTTTCTGTTTCTCTTTATGCTTTTATAAGAGTATGTTAAGTGACAAGAAAATGAACCAGCTCACCAGGCTGGTTACCAATGTTTAGCCTTTTCTTTTTGCAGCCTGTTGCACTTCCTCAGGACCTGACTAAAGCTGATTTGCTGAGTTCTTTGACTCAGCCTGGAGAATATTTAAATGGAAAAAAAAGATAAACAGTTACTTCAAATGTCTTACTGCAGGCTGCACTGGGTGGCTCAAGGGACTGGCACCATGGTATTACAGATTTTATCTAGGTTGCCCATTGACATTTAGTGAGATTTGGAGTGACCAAAAGTTATTGTCTGATAGTTTGCTAGTGCTTTACATGACAGAAAATTAGAGTCTTAAATTATCTCAGAGAGATGATTATATAACCCCACATCTAGCAGCAACTTTAGCAGTGCCTGCCATCAAGGTGGTGTCTTCCAGTGCTTCATCTGCCTTCATGCACAACTGAACAATGAAGCTCTTTGCTGCAAACACACGTCACCCAGAAGCGCGACGCGTCTGACGGGAAGACTCACCGAGTCGATGTAGAAGGTGTTGGAGCCCACGAAGGTGATGGCATCTTGCAGCTCATAGTTGTGCACCCCGTTCTGGTAATCCTGGTAGGGTGTCACGGTGAGAGCGAAGGGCCCCACGCTGTGCTTGCTCCAGTTGGTCAGCTTCACCTCCAGCGGGATGGGGTCCCCCACTTTGCAGTCCACCACGACGTCGCAGTCGCAGAGCTTCCCGTCCACCAGGATGTCTGCAAATGAGGGGCACAATTCCACGTTAGCTTGGGCTCCTGTTTTAGGAACTGCTTAACCTTGACTGTTGGGAAACTTGACAAGAAAAAACAACCTCCATGAAACCAAGAGTGAGAGATGAGCTGAGGAAAGAAAACTCAACGCTGCAATGTTGTGTAGGGTAGCGTTGCAGTGAAACTACTTCCGACGACCAGCTAATGAAGAGCTGATATCTGTCCACAACTGTTGACAGAGTTAAGAAAAAAAACACAATTATGATTTATACACAGGCACCAGAAGGTATTTTTTAGGCTACTCCCTTGCAGGACAAAGCCACAGACAACTTTGCATGCTTCTCCTGCAAAACAACACCATCAGGTGAAGGGAAATACAAACAGAAATCATCAGTATAAAAGGTAGGTAGATTGATCCAGGGCTGGATGCCCATGTTCACATGTTACAGCCAGAATAAATCCTCCTGCATGGAGGTGACCTTTTGGAACAGGACAAACACTGCCAGAATTTGCAATGTAATACATACATTAAAGCCCAGATAATAAGGAAAAAAGGTATTTTAAAATTATTCAGCATTACCATGAGCTTGTTCACTTTTTGTGCTTTAATTCATTCCATGATTTCTATTTTTAACTTTCTACTCTTCTTTCCCCTACTGGGATAGCAGAAAATATAAAGCCTCTAAATTGGTTGCTGCTGGGACAATGACAGCCAGAGTCATATGTCCACTAACCTTGCCCATTTGCTTATAGAACCACGATGTTTCATTACCAACACACTATGAAACTGCTAGGCCAATTCCCTGCTCTGAAAGGGTTCCCAGCAGTGCAGCATTACTGTATTTTTCAGAGGAGGGTTATCTCTGATGCACTATTAATACAGGAACATTTTTATTTCACTATAGGTTCATGTTCAGAGATAAGAGGACTCCCTGGGCACATGTAAGAAAGCCTCCTCTGTGGGAATACCTCTCTCCCCACAGCCCAGTGGGCCCATGAGGCATTTCAATCACTCCAGGTCCTCCTCAGTCTCTTGTCTCATGACATACAGCAGATTATTCCTCTGCCAAGAGCGTCAGATTTACATTAGTAATATCCCCTCTTCAAGAAAATACACAATTTTTATGCTTCAGGAGCTTCCACAGAAAAAAACCCCAAACAAACAACAACCAAACATTTTTACACCAAAGTGATTTGTTGTTGTTTTTTTTAATACGTTTTTATTTTGTTGTCTCAGGCAAAAAAACTAGAAAATTATGCATGTTCTCATGATGCCCTTCAGCCTGGCAAAATGAACAAGCTGTAGTGCAGCAATTGGGGTGGGGCAAAACCCACCACCACCAAAACCTAGTGCCAAAGAAGAAACTAGTTCAGAAAGGAACACTTGTTCCAGAGGACAGGTCAGCAAAGCTGAGCTACCCAGATGAAAACCCCTCCTTGACCAGAGCTGCCCAAATGCAGCAGCAAGTCCCACATGGCAGAGCAAGCACAAAGAGACCCAGCAGTGCTCAAGCTGCCCAAAACCTGTGTCTGTGTCCCATCTGAAACAGTCCCTGAGGCAAAACTTCCTTTCTAGAGGAGATGCCCAGTTTTTGATAACAAGAGCACTGGGGTAAGGCCACACCTGGATTGCTGGTTTAAGCTCTGGGCTCCTCAGTGCAAGAGAGACATGGACATAATGGAGAAAGGCCAGTAAAGGGTCACAAAAAGGACGAACGATCTGGTGCACCTCACATAGGAGGAGAAGCTGAGAGAAAGGTCTAGAAAAACCTGTTTGGCATTGCCTTTGTTTTACAATAGCACACACTAAAGTTATGGGCTCTCCTGCCCAAGATGCTTCTTGTAGGATTGCCCGGAGATCGTGGAGATGAAGTGGTGGTTATAATGGTATCCCATTATCTGGGATTAACTGACTTGAACCTTTAAAAACACTTCAAAAAATGTGTGTGTGGGTCATCTTTATGCTTCCCAGCCTCCTGCCACAGAAGTGAAGTTCAGCTGCATACTTCAAAATAAATTAATTTCTATTAATTAATGAGTTTATAACCGTTTCTGTTTTCAAGCCTCTCTCTGCAATGTAAGTGCTTTCATTTCAAAATAAAATATAATACTTTCTTCTGTTTCCTTCAGCCAGCAGGTCTTACAGCTGCAGGGATGGTTACCTCCCCAGACCAGCATGAACCTTCAGAAATACTCAGTAAGGTAAGTGGATGAATCTTTAATTTCAAGCTGCTCATCAACTTGCCCTTCAGCTTTAAAATTCATTGCTCTGCTGTAGGAATTGTAAATGAACCCTTTGCCCTCTGTCTCCACCTTTGTATCTAATAATAGCTCAGAGCATTGCTTCCCAACATCTCCATGTGAAAACAGAAAATCCAAACAAAAGGGAAGCAATTAAACCTGACTCAACCAGATTAATTTTCTTTCATATTCCTAAAAAAAAATTCAATTAATTTAAGATTGATTGAAGAGTGTGTGTGGGCACATGTGCTTGTGTACATATTGAGAGATTATTTCCTTCCCTCCCAGCACACCCTTCCCTCCTGCAGGACTAAAGCCAAGGATCCCAGTGAGAAGTCAGATGAGCAAACACACATGGCTGGCGTGCAAAATACTATGGAAAGGAGAGTTTAAAAAGAGTCCCCTTTCATCAGGGAGAACAGCTTGGTTTGACAGGCAGTTTTACTCCCTTCCTGACACAGAAAACATCTCATGGACCATACGCATCTGCTTTAATATTTTCATCCATGGGGAGAGGAAAAGCCATGTGTACAGGGTCCTGTTTCTGCAGATTCAGCTCACTCACACAGATGGCATATAAAAGCTGAGGCTGCTCACACCACTGCTGTGAGAGTGAATCACTCCTGGCTTCAGGACACAGGAGCTCTGAATGAAAAGGCAGTCACTAGCACAGAAGACAGTGGTGGGTGATCTCCAAAAATTCAGACAGATGATAGACAGTATTTCTGAAGATTAGAAGGACCAAGTTAATGCCAACAGCATACATTAAGTACATAAAAAAGGCTGAAGCATAAACTCTGTCAAGGAAAAAAATAACAACAAAGATCTAGCAATCTCCTTCTAATGATAAGTTAAATCGTTTAAGTGCTTTAATAAGCCAGCAGAATGAATGGTGCTTAATTTTTGTTTTCATTGTTTTTTCCTTTCCTTTCCTGCTCATTTACCTACACATGTCCACTCTGTTGGCATCCATGGGTCCCAAGATTTCTCTGCAATGCTTGATAGGCACAAAAAAAGGAAAGACACAGTGTCCACCACAAACCCATGAACAAGCACAGGACTTCTCTGAGGAAGTGCAGGACAGCTTATTTCTAGGACTTTCTAAGTGATTCTTTTACCAAGGGAGAAAATGCCCAACACATTTTGGAAGGCAGGGGATGAGGATGATACAAGCCACTGAGAATCACAGAATCATAGAATTATTTAGGATGGAAATGGCCTTTAAGATCATCAAAAGAAGGGGTGAGAAGGGTGATTGGAAAACCTCTTTTTCACTGGTGGCCTTAGCCAAGCCTCTTAAGATTTCAGTGAATTCACTGTATAGTTCAAAAAAATATTTCAAGGCCCACTTGACTGATGATGCTTATTGACACCACAATCAATGGATGGGAGACCATTATATGAAAATAATCCATCAGATTTCACATAGTGTCTTTCAGGATCTCAACATTCAAGAAAAGGGAATGGATGCTACTGAAGGGGAGATGACCACTATTCCACAAGAAAAAACATCATTTGCTACCACCTGCCAAGTGCACTTCTGTCTAAATTAACCAAAGGAGCCGTTTGGAAATGAACACCAAACATTATGAACATTTTGTGTTATTTACTCTGCTCATGTTAACACAGTAAGTTGTTCTTGCTACTTGCTCCTATGAGCACTGGCAGCTCCTTGGCCCACCTGTAGGTCAAGAATTCTGAGTCATGGATAATTGCATTTCCATACCCAACTCCCTGCTTGCCACTCTGGAAGTTTAATTTTGGAAAGCTGCATAGAAATACATGTTTTAATCTCAGTGGAAATGCCTATTTCAGCAATATTTACACTCAAGTTTGGGTTGATTTAAAAAAAAACAAACAACCAAACAGGTTGCAGAGGAAGGTGGGGTGTCTGTGCTCATCTTTACAGTGGGGGATGGAAAAATTTCCATTGGATATTTGCTTTTAAGCCAGGATGCATTGGTCTCTGCCATAGGCTGCAGCTGGGAACCTGCCTCAAGACTTTGAGCAAACACCTCACAGAGGTATGGGTCTGCACAAACAAACAGGTCAAAAACATTCAAGGCAAGGAATGTCCAAATGAGTAAATATGTCTCACGAAGAGATCTTCAAAGACCAAAAAAAACAAGCCTTGCTCAGCTGTACTGTGATAGTTAGGGGAATTTTAGTCAATCAACCATTTGTTATACTCTTAGAGCTCTTCCAAAATACTAGTTTTACACATCTCAGTCTGTGAACTGGGAGGAGCAACAACAATGCTGATGTCTCCAAATAAAGGTACTTGGATGGAGGAAAGCCAAAGACCAAGAGCCCAAGCCAGAGCTGCTGCAGTGAAAGCCTCACAGAATGATATAGATTTTCTGTGTTCACAAAATCTAAAGTGCTGATTAAAATATCTGCCCAAGTCAGCTTTACTTCTAATTGCCCTAAAAGAGCCAGGAGAGGGAGAGCCATTCTGTCTGGAACAACTTCTGCTTTTATTTTCCTGTCCTCTTCCACAAGAATGTCAGTTCAGGATTTTGCAAGGAACTTAACAATGCAAAGAGAAAATTATTATTTTTAGAATTATTTTTATTTTTTATTTTAATCATTAATTTAGCAATGGTTTGAGCAATTCTGTCCGATTCTGATCTTACCTATTATACAGATGGGAGAAAGATCAGACTGGAGAAAATAATCTGTACTACAGGCAAACTCAGTGTACAGAGCAAGCTGATCCTGCCTGTCTCCAAAGAAGCTCCCTGTCCCTCCTCTCTTGCTGCATG